AGAGGGGTTAATAACATAAGGTTTTGTAGTTGCTACTGGAAGTAAAATGTGTTGCTTTATGATGTAAGAATGTGTGGAATTGCATGTCAACATTTCTTAATACTGAATCTTGAGGGGCATACATGCAGATCATATCAACGTCAAGTTGATCCTCATGTGTCAAATATATGTGAAATTCAACTGTTCAATTACTGGATGTTTATCTTAAACAACATTGCTGAGAGGGACCTACTGTAAATGTGACATCCTCACACTTCCCAAATCTTTAACTTTCAAGGATCTTCCCGTAAACGTAAAGCCTAGAAGACTTCCAAAGCAAAAGTCAAACCATCTCTATCCTCAGACTCGGTGGCTTGTACCCAGGACTCCGTGGTCACGCTCCTCCAGTGCGTTGGGCTCAGAGGCTCAGTGGGGAACTGAGTGAGTCCGGAGGGATTTGGTTTGGAGCCTGGTCATTAGTTCTGTGAAATGCTCACTTGTTTATAAGCTTCCGGTTCTATAGCAAAGCCAGGCTCTGGGTATGTGTTCATTTCCCACCTCTTGGTAAAGGTGTTTTTTGTCTTGATCCCCTGGCCACAGTTAAAGGTTGGTAGGACTTCCTACAGTCTCAGTACAATCTGAAGCCCTCTTTGTTGCTCAGACTCTTTAACTCCTGCTGCTGTGAACAGAGAGCAAGTTCACGCAGAGGAGGGCTCTGTATTAGCCATAACTCCAGTTGTACAACTCGGCCCCAGTATCTATTACGGTTCAAAATGTACTGCTGACCTTGGGTTTGTTTTGGTTTTTTTCCTGTTAGGATTATTTGGGGCTATTGGTAGTTTAAATTCTTTAACCTTTTCTTTGCTGTGTATGAGGAAAGCTAAAGCTGTTATCAACTTCTTATTCTACGGATACTAACACGGGTTTTCAGTGTGTGTTTGTTGTTGTTATTAATTTTGCGTGATGTGAATACCCTCTTCCCATCAATATTTGTATTATGGTGCTATATATTTGGTAATGATCCTTTACTATTGGGAAGGGATTTTAAAAATACTGTGATTAAACTGGGTTTCTTCCTTTGATTTTCATATTTTAAATAAAGCCACAGTCATTTATACAAAAGAAAAGCGTCTGTCCCCCCAAGTCTTTGGAGGACAGAGGTCAAAGAAAACTGCATAAGGTTTTTACATCATTTCTGTATGTATTTGATATATAGACCAATATCTGTACAAATTTAATCTTTTATTTTCTTGGTAACTTGTGATCATTGAGAAAGTATTTGAAACTTTCTCAGGAAGTGTATATAATGGCGTGAAAAATTCTTCAGAGAAATTTATGTTCCTTTCATTTTTACCAAATTGCAAATTTCCAGCATGAATGTGAAAGCATTAAAATTATAACTTTGTGTACAAGATGAAAATAATTCACTAAATTTGCCCTTTTTTTACACAAAATAAAAATGTTAAAGTTACGTTGTATTTGAGCAATTCTTTAATACCCTTTTACCCTTGGGAGGGTTTTTTTTTTCTTTTTTTTTTTCTTTATTAAAAATCTTGAGTGCCTTCTGTAAGCAGTCAGCGGCCCCTGTGAGAGTCAGTCCAGATTCTTCCTCATGGCCCCTGCCGGTGAACAAGGTAAAGGGAATTGACTCCTGGCCGAGAGGGAAGGCAGAGAATACGGTGGGTGTGTGGACAAGGAGGATCTGAGCTGGGTTTTACAGACCACAGAAGCAGAGATGAGTGTGGACCGCTCAGAGGGATTTACTTCATTTATTTGAGTGGGGTTTTTTGTTTGTTTTATAATGTTTAACGTCAGGGAGTCTGGTTCTTTCCCTGCCAAACCTGAGAGCAGGGACTACTTCAGTGTCTCTGCCTTCTCTTTGTGATGACCAAGGTTATAAAAGTGTCTGCAGCATCAGACTTTAAACTTCGCATTTATCTCTCTTTTCCTTGATCTTGGCGCATTGGCATCCTTTCACCTGGCTGAGAGCAGGAAGTTCCTGATTGCCTCCATTTTGCAATGCCTGTCTCTGAGGTGTGGAGAATACAAGGCAGGCACCTCAGATTACCCCCTGCCCCCTGGGTACAAGCCAAGAGGACTTACACAACATTAACTGGAACTTGGTGTTTCAGGGTTAACTTGCTTGCTAGGGGCCTTTTTTTTCAAGTTCTGTTCACCTCTTAAGCAAAGTTCATAGGATATAAATAAGTTGTCCCAGCCAGCTGGTGCTGTTTGCATTGAGAAGGAATACAAGGACCTCTTACCAATGACTGACTGGAAAATTATTCAATTTTTGTGCAAAAGCAGTTCGTAGAGAATTTTCTGGACATAAGAGAGGAGATGGTTTGGGAGTTTAAGGCATTCCAAGAAAACAGGTGTGGAACCTAATTCCTGCCGTTTGCTACCGTAAATGGCTTGAACAGTTGCCCTAGAAAGTTGAAATTCCCAGACTGGGTCCCATTTACTATTCCATAAGCTCTGGTATATATGTTATTTTTAAGTTTTTATCTGTATATGTTCTTTAAACAATTCCAGCCTCTTGGGAAACTATTTCCTAATGTGCTTTATGCCCAGGATTATGTTTTAAGAGCACTCAGTGCTTTTCCCTAATAAGTCAATGTTTAGCTCTGTGTTTATCCAGCCGCTGAGACTGGGAGAACAGGGACTATTTCCTTCCTATAGATCATTACTGAGTAATGCTGTGGGCCTGTTCAAAGTGTCAGGCCTCTCAAGCAGGCAAAAATAAGGACTGCCTATAGCCGACAAATAGATGAGAATATAAAAAAAAAAATAATTATTTTAAATACAGGGGCGAGTGACAGGTTTACAGTTATGAGTACCTGAAAGTTTAATTTATTATTGTATTATTTTCCATCTGAAGAACTGTAAGCCTACTTTTGCCCACCCATAATGCATTTACTGTATTCAAACAAAAGCTTTATTGAAATCATGCATGAGTTATCCACTTCACAACCAGCTGGTATATAGGATTATGTCCAAAACCCAACCTTCCTCCCAAAGCAGTACTTTTTTTAAATTTAATTTTTCAATTCCCGGTACTGAATTTTTTTATTGGTTCTAGACAGGGAGAAAGAGAAACAGGATGTGAGAGAGACATCGATGGGCCACCTCCCCACACACGGCCAGACCAGGATGGAACCTGCAAGCTCAGGTATGTGCCCTGACCAGGAACAAACCCACAACCTTCCGACCAACCGAGCCACACAAGCCAGCACTGCATTCAGTCTTCTGCCTCAGTTTCTAGTGTACAGCTTAGTGGTTAGGCAATCATATACTTTACAAAGTGGCTGCCCAATGTTGCCAGCACACCCATCTGGCACCATGCAGTTATTGTTGACTATAGTCCCTCAAAGGTAGTACTTTCGATCTCACCATAGCCTACCCTTTCCTTTCACTTCTACCAAAATGAAGTCCTAGCATCCACTCCTTCCTCTTAGCTCTCACCACTCCAAATTTGACTTCTTACCCCTGCAAATTCAGGACTTGCTCAATCCCTTGGATTACTGTAAAGACGGTGGCCAAGAACATGGCATCTGAAGCCAGCTGTCAGATTGGAGACTGACACCTTCCCTTCTTAGTCGCATGAGATGTCTGTTTCCTCCCTTGTAAAATGGGGGCACTAGTACCAACCTCCTAAGAGTTGTGAAGATTAAAATGAATCCATGTGTGTGAAGTTCTTAGAACAGCCCTGGCCCAGACAGAGTAAGCTAGCACTTAAAGACTGCTTTGGATCCGAGTACCTCCACCAGTGTGCACGAGAATCACAGGGGAGCACACATTAAAAGGCGGATCCCCAGGCCCACCCCAGAACATGGAACTTTAACCATCAAACTTCACCGCTTAATGTGATGAAAACATGTACCACATGTGAACACGAGAGTAAATTTTAAGTGGGAAAATAATTTAGAAAATGTTAAATTTCTTGACTCTTGGGCATTTTTTTTGCACTAAGCTGTGAGTGTATTTGCCATTGTCTTGTGTAGCAGTATGCATTAAAAGTAACACTGAAGTCAAAACAGAAAGTAAAGAAAAACCAAATAATTAAGAAAAATAAAGTATAACAGAGTCTTTCATATGGAAGTGGCAGTTAGCTTTCACCAGTTTCCTTACAAAACAGTTATTCATAGACCCACATATTTTTAGAATCTCGTTTTTAAGCCCGACCCCGGGTGATCAGTGCCATTTGGCATCAGAGGATGAATTTTGTAACCACTCACTGCTCTGATCCAAGAAAGAGGCATGATAAGTATTTTACCCCGGGGAGGAGAGAACCGAAGGGTTGCAGAATTCGTGTACCCACAGTGGACGGCACTCGTTCACTCCTGTATATTCAGGCCTTACCCACCCCTGCCCTGCAGTGATACCCCCGTTTCACAGATGCCAGGGGGCTTGTTTCCTCATATAGAACTCGCCCAACTTGCAGTCCATAAACGTACATCGGATGATAGTATGTTTCACTATCAAGTTTCAACAAACTCTTTGTACAGAAATGTACATTTCTACATCAGCTGAAGAGATTGGGACGTTTATTAGGCTCCTAGAGGCCCGATGCACAAAATCTGTGCTGGAGTAGGCCTTCCCTCTGGCACCCAGGACCGCTTCCCTTGCAGCCATGGCTTCGTCTGGAAGGTGGTCCACTCTAATTAGCATATTACACTTTCATAGATTTCCTTATTGGTTTTCTTAGATGCACTACTAGTGCCGCATGTGGCCCCCCCCTTTAACCTCACTACTTTCCCTCAAGTCGTGAAATATACCGAGTTGCTGAGAAGGATTGATTAGTTCTGGATAATGCTAACCTAACAGCTCTAGCCAGGAAACCAAGTGTCTCCTTCCAGCTCAGCACCAAGGAAGCACAGGAGGCGGCGCCAGTTTCCAAAGGCTTTATTGTAAATATGCTTTAGAAAAGATGGATCGTTTGCTTCCAAGTCCGTGGAATGAAGAGCTGTGTCCGGGGACACCTCAAGTGGAGCCGAGGGGACGGATGCTTTGTCCACCTCTTACTCATAGATCCAGTCAAAAGCACAAGACTTGTAGTCAACCAGCTCTTCAGGCTTAAACCACAGGCCGATTTCTCTCTCGGCACTTTTTACCGAGTCGCTGCCGTGAATGATGTTCCTAAGAGAGAACAAAGACTCCGTCACCCCATTTCGGAGTACCAAGGCTGTGGAATGGGTAAAGCACAGGACAACCAACCCTTGCAGACCTCATCAGCCAAATTGCCACTTGAATCAGGAAACTACCCCAAAGTATTTCCTCTTTAAAAGCAACTATAAAAGCATTAACCCAGCCCTAGCTGGTTTGGCTCAGTGGATAGAATGTCACCCTGCGGACTAAAGGGTCCCAGGTTTGATTCCGGCCAAGAGCACATGCCCCGGTTGTGGGTTCGGTTCCCCCCACTCCCCCAATAGTGGGCATGCAGGCGGCAGCATTCAATGATTCTCATCGTTGATTTTTCTCTCTCTAGCCCTCTCTCCCTTCTCTGAAATCAAAACTATATTTTTAAAAAAATAAATGTCTTATCGTTTAAAAAAAAAGCACTTAATCCAAAACACCCCTTAGTTCAACTTTGTTATGCTTCCAACTTTCCCCCTTTGATATAGTGTTCATGCCCTGCCCAGGTAGCTCAGTTGGTTGGAGCATTGTCCCAATATGCCAAGGTTGCAGGTTCAATCCCCAGTCAGAGCACATACAAGAATCAACCAAGGAATGCATAAATAAGTGTAACAACTAATCAATGTTTCTCTTTCTAAACAAACATCAGTAAGTTAAAACTTTAAAAATAAAAAGAAATAGTGCTCATATCCTAAGAATGCTGTACCACAAAACATTCCTTCTCTAATTTTGAAAATATGGGAATAGTCAAAACCTGAACTAGGTTTGGCTCAGTGAATAGAACTTCAGCCTGCGGACTGAAGAGTCGTGGATTCCATTCCAGTCAAGGGAGCAGGCTTGGTCTCCATGAGGGGGTGTGCAGGAGGCAGCTGATCCATGATTCTCTCATCAATGTTTCTTTTTTTTCTTTTTAAAATTTTTTTAAATATATTTTATTTACTTTTTACAGAGAGGAAGGGAGTTAAGAAACATCGATGAGAAACATCCATCCGCTATCTCCTGCACGCCCCCTACTGGGGATGTGCCCACTACCAAGGTACATGCCCTTAACCGAAATGGAACCCAGGACCCTTCAGTCCGCAGGCTGATGCTCTATTCACTGAGCCAAACCGGTTTCGGCTCTCATTGATGATGTTTCTGTCTCTCTCCCTCTCCCTTCCTCTCTGAAATCAATAAAAATATATTTAAAAAATAAATACCTTGAAGTAGTGACACATTCATTATCAAGGGCATTTTCTTAATACTAATTTGCAAAACCCCACCAAGACATACATGCTTATCAACAATCCCTTTTTTCCATTGGAATCTCGTCTGGAAAGTTTTTGGACAGATTTTGTATTGGTGAGGGATCCAAAAGGTAAAGGGACAGACCCATGGGCATAGTGCCACAAACAGCAGAGCGGAGGCTAGAACCCTGCCTTTCCCCATGCTCTGTGCTTTCCGCTGTCAGGAAGCTCCCTTGTGCACTGTCTTAGTTAGAATTTGAAGTAGCCTAGGAAATAGCTATTTAAAAACACTTTGAGCCGAAACCAGTTTGGCTCAGTGGACAGAGCGTCGGCCTGCGGACTAAAGGGTCCTGGGTTTGATTCCAGTCAAAGACATGTACACCTTGGTTGTGGGCACATCCCCAGCAGGGGGCGTGCAGGAGGCAGCTCATTCATATTTCTCATCGATGTTTCTAACTCTCTATCCCTCTCTCTATATATAAAAAGAAAATCAATAAAACGTTTTAAAATAAATAAAAACACTTAGAGCTCTAGCTGGTTTTGCTCAGTGGATAGTGTCAGCCTTCGGACGGAAGGGCACATGCTTGGGTTGCTGGCTCAATTCCTCAGTAGGGGGTGTGCAGGAGGCAACTAATGAATGATTCTCATCATTGTTTCCATCTCCCTGCCTCTTTGAAATCAATAAAAATACATTTAAAAACAAAACACTTTCACCTGATGATAATTACCACTTAATTTAGGACTTCAAATTCTTCTAAAACTGGGATATGCAAAATAATGATTTTTATAAGTGACCCTCAGGACTTACCTGCCAACTTGAATGCAAAAGTCTCCACGAATGGTGCCTGGCTTAGAATCGGCTGGATTGGTCTCCCCAAGCATCAGTCTCCCTGTCTTCACCACATTCAGCCCTTCCCAGACCTTGACAGGAGGGAAAAGGAACATCAGGTCTGCCCTTCAGGACCATTAAGAACAAACACCCCTAAGAGCACCCATCCATCAGACCCACCAGTGACATGAGCATCAGCTAACCTCAGCAGGGGGCCTGCCCAAAGTATTCTAGGATACAGAGAAAAAGTCAACAGAACTGCACAACTTTCTAGTCTAGCCGAGTTAGATACACAATACTGCAGAATCCATATGCAGCCGCAAACCCGAACAAGGGTAGAGCAAGTGACCAGATTGAAACAGGATCAGTGGCAAGGCCATCCCAGAAAACCGTTAGAGCAACAGATGGCAAAGATCGCCACGAAAGAGGAAAGTGTATTCCGAGAACAAAGAATAAAAGGTCATCCTCACGGGACAGGAAGCAGATCTACTTTCTCAACCATTTGTACCCTCTACTTTCACTCCCAACTGGACCTTAACACCACGGGAAGGAACAGCCTGCTCTGTGTCCAGCTGGGGAGCACACAGAACGTTCCCCAAGCTCTGACTCCTTTTTCCTCCCAAGCTCCTAGTTGCTCCATTAACTAAACGCCAGCGGGCTCCGTCTGTCAAACAAGGAAACTGGAAGATGTCTAAAAAAGCGGCAGTCACTGACCCAGGCCCTTTACTGTCCGCCCTCCTTTTCCTTGGTTTCCCTCCTCCCTGGCGAGCACTCACCATGGCCACCACAGGCCCCGAGTTCATGTACTTCACCAGCCCCGGGTAGAAGGGGCGGTCCTTCAGGTCGATGTAGTGCTGCTTCAGGAGCTCCTCGGAGGCCTGCAGCGCAGAGGGTACCGATCAGTGACTACACCGGGGAGGCTCGACTATGGCTCCATCCCCGTCTCAGAACCTATTAATACTAACGTGGTAGCCAATTGAGTATGTCAGCTCATAAGGTGTGTATATTAAAAACGAACAAACATCCAAAGCATGAAGCTTTTACCAAAAGACCGTTCTGCTGCTGACGGCACCCTCATCACGTCAATGACTGTCTGGATGCTATAACCCTTAAAACAGATGGCTTGAGGGCCAAGTCCAGGGAGAGAGTGGATGCAACTGAATTATGCCAGATGGAGGACGGACCGCCTCCGCTGGCCCTTCACAATGCCCGTTCCAACATTTTTCGGATGTGAACTAGGAACATTCTGTTCATGGATGAGCTTGGGTAACATTTCAGTACTTGGGTCCTTATCTCTTAAGGTCCAGATCTGCGTGCCCCAAACTTAATGGGGAGAACAGTGACCGCCGTCCACCCAGGGAGCCCAGAGGAAGGAACACCCCACCCCAAACCGCACTCATCTCAGCTGCAAGCTGAAACACAAAAGGATGCCAAGCTCCCATCTGGGCTCTGGGCACAGGGCACAGGCAGACCCACGTGGGAGGGGAACGGGCGCTGGCTTCACTCTGCTGCCCCCCTGCGGCCACGGGCAGGCGCCGGCGCCACGCCGCGCGGGTCGGAAGCCGGTTCCGGGCGGGAGTCACGTTACCTCCGCTTAACCTTCCCAAGGGCGCCGGTGCTCCGGGCCTGGGAGGCTCAGGGGGGGGGACACAAGGGGGGGGCACAGGGGGAGGGCTGGCACGCGGGGGCGGGCACAGGGATCCCCGCGGGGCGGAGGTGGCAGAGGAGGCCTCCGGGCCCCGCCGGGACGCACACAGCCCCGCGGCCGGGCTCCGGGGGCGAAGGGGGGGCGCGTACCCGCAGGAACTTCATGGCCACGAGGCGGAAGCCCTTCTGCTCGAAGCGCTTGACGATGTCGCCCACCAGGCCGCGCTGCACGCCGTCCGGCTTGATGGCGATGAAGGTGCGCTCCGTGTTGGCCATGGTCCTGCGGGCGGAGAGCGGGCGGTCAGGGTCCAGGGGCCGCGCCCCGCCCGGCCGCTCCCCCGGCCCCGTCCCTCTTCCCCCCGCGGCTGCGGACACGTGGCTGCCGGCGCCGCCGCCCGCCGCCCGCCGCCCCAGGCCCCGCGGGGGGAGGGCGCCGGGCTCCGGGGCGCAGAGCCCGGACCACGCGGGGCCGCGGGCCCCGGAGACCCGAATGGCCTGCGCGGCGGGGGAGGGCCCGGGGCCGGGGGGTGGGGGTGAGGGCCCGGGGCCGGGGGGTGGGGGAAGGGACCGGGGGGTGGGGGTGAAGGCCCGGGGGTGGGGGAAGGGACCGGGGGGTGGGGGTGAGGGCCCGGGGCCGGGGTCGGGGGGGTGGGGGTGAGGGCCCGGGGCCGGGGGGTGGGGGTGAGGGCCCGGGGCCGGGGGGTGGGGGTGAGGGCCCGGGGCCGGGGGGTGGGGGTGAGGGCCCGGGGCCGGGGGGGGGGTGTGAGGGCCCAGGGGCCGGGGGGGGGCGAGGGCCCGGGGTTGGGGGGTGGGGGAAGGGACCGGGGGGTGGGGGTGAAGGCCCGGGGGTGGGGGAAGGGACCGGGGGGTGGGGGTGAGGGCCCGGGGCCGGGGTCGGGGGGGTGGGGGTGAGGGCCCGGGAGTGGGGGTGAGGGCCGGGGGGTGGGGGTGGGGGTGGGGGTGAGGGCCGGGGGGTGGGGGAGGGGCCGGGGTGGCGGTGAGGGAAGGAAAAGCGCCCCCGTCCCCTCACCCTTACCGAGAGGAGAGCGCGGCGGAGCTGCGGAGCCGGAGCGGGGACGGGGCGACCACCGAGCGGAGCCGCCCGGGAGGCGGGGCCGCGGCGGCCACACCCCGCAGGGCCCGCCGCCCAACCCGCGGGCCGGACGCCGCCGGGGCCGCGGTCCACGCCCCCGGCAGCCAGCGAGGCTCCGGGGCAGGAAGTGATTTCTCCGCCGGTGCCCCGCCGGGAAAACTGGCAGCTCCAAACCCAACTAACTCCCTCCCCTCCTCCCTCTTTCTCTCTCTCTCTCTCTCTCTCTCTCTCTCTCTCTCTCTCTCTCTCTCTCTCTCTCTCTCTCTGTCTCTCTCTCTCTCTCTCTCTCTCTTTCTCTCTCTCCCTCTCTGTCTCCCTCTCCTTTTCCTTCTCCCTCTCTTTCTCCCTCTCCCTCTCTCCTCCTTTCTCTCAAACCTCTCCTGGTCTGGGCCTCACCACCTGCTTTCACCCAGAATTGGGCTCTCTTTCCTCCTCTCATGCACCCACCAGTCCCGATCCTTTCCCCCTCCCCGCCCCTCGGCCGAGCCCTGGCGCTAGCCCTCCGCCTTCCTCATTCAAACCCGCGGCTCCCAGCCGGCCTTACCCGGACCCCTCCCCGCACCCGGCCTCCCTCCGCCGACACCCATCCGAGCCTGTCCAGCCGCTTAGCCAGACAGCCATGCTCTCCACCGTGAGCCCTGCTCCCTCTGCCTGTCTCCTCCACTCCATCCCACCCACCTTCCCATCCCACCCACCTTCCTGCCCCGGCAGCCGGCTGCTCTTCCTTCCCGGAGATGGAGATCTCTGCCCCGCCTAGCATGTGCGGTCAGGCTCTCCACTCCAGCCGGGGACACACCCTTGACAAGATTCAAGACTCTTAGAAATCAGGCCTTCTGTTTGCAGACAGTCCCCTCCTCCTCCTCCCCGCCCTTTGGTGGTTGGATGTGGGCGCCAGTGTGTGTGTGTGTGTGTGTGTGTGTGTGTGTGTGTGTGTGTGTGTATCCTTACACTCAGCAGTTACACCCGCCCAGCAGTGACAATGCTCTGAAATGGTCAGAGCCTGTTTCTGTCCTCAGGGCGGTGAGCTCACGCTGGCCACTGAATGGCGTTGTCACCCAGTGGTCTTGGGGCGCACTGGTAGCTGAGCTGTTTGCCCTTGGGCCAATCACGAACACCAACCTCTCCTTTCCTGTCTGGAACTGAGTCCCTGGACAACCCCCAGAATCATAGCCTTAGCACCATCCCCGTCCTACTCACCTACTTGAACTTTTTTTGAGCTTTATTGAGGCATATTTGATAAGTAAATATTGTATTATATGTAAGGCATACAATTAGATGTTCTGATATACACACAGGGGTGGGGAAATGCAGGTTTACAGTTGTCATATGGAGAAACATATGCGGGTTATAATTATTACAAAAATTAACTTTTGTGTTCTCACCACTGCAAACCTGCTTTGGCCCATCCCTGTATGTATTGTAAAATGATCACCACCAACATAACCATCATTTCAGTTACCATTTTTTTTTTTTTTGGTGTGTAGTGAAAACATGTAAGATCTATCCTCTTAGCAAATTACAGCATATAATATTAACTGGGGGCAATCTGGGGCTGGCCAGGGGAGGGGCCCCAGCCCCTGGTCGAAATCCCTGTGGAGGGGACAATTTGCGTATTAGCCTTTTATTATATAGGATAATCACAGCACTGAACAAATCTCCAGTGTGGACTTTTAAATAAAAGAGAAGTAAATTTCTACCTTGTCTCTGATAGTCAAACCAGTGTCCTAACAAATCGAAGTTCATTACAAGACTTCTGCTGCTTTTGAGGCCATCCCAGGGACCCAGGCCCACCATCTGCAGAAAGGATGCCTTTTATTTCCAATGAATCCTCTGCCCCTCCCTGAGTCTTGGCAACTGTGGGGTTCAAAATGAGTTACCCCAGGATGCACCTCTGTGGCATGTAGATAGTTTTGAGCCCAAGGCAACTCTAGCTTCGGGCTCCAGAGAAATCTCTGCCTCGCCCTTAACTACCTAGCACTGAGTGAAAGGCCTTGTCCGTAAGAAGACATCGGAGATAACCTCACTGGACAAAGTACTAATTCCCGAACACGTTCTCTCTGCAGTGACTGAAGCCCCAAGGTGCTTACCTTATCCCTAGCTCAGAATGTGGGGTGTACCTATTTTCCCTCCTGTCTTTGAACCTCATCCATGTGGGCTCTCGGACTCCGTCATACGGATGTAATTATATTTGGTTATTTCCTCTTCTTTAAATGTCTCACGTCTATTTGATTAGAGCAGCCAACAGATCCTCCGTACCTGCCCGTTGACTGGCTCAGTGACAAGAGTTGGATGGGATACAGGGGGGAAAGGGACAGGCAAAGATCGTATGTGTGTGTGTGTGTGTGTGTGATCTCTCAGACCAATATAAATCATTTATATAGTATTTATACTTTCTATTAGCTCAGGTTAGCCAGAGGATGTGGAAAGAAAAAAAGAATACAAAGCAATACAGCCACACAAAGTGGCCAATTCGATGAATCCCAGTTAGGGTAAAACGTTTTAATCTGATGGTAGCACGTAACCCTGTACCGGGACCACTCTCAGTTCCAGGAGTGTCCCTCCAGGTTAGAAGGAAGTTCTCAGAGGTAAGAGCAGCCAGTCTGGTCCCCTGCCGTGGGAGGGAGAGGAAACGGCGAGGAAAGCCACGGTCAGCGGCCTTCCCGTCACTCGTAGATCCAGTTCTGAGCACAGCTCTTGTAATCTACCAGTTCCTCCGGCCGAAACCACAGGCCAATCTCCTTCTCCGCGCTCTCCACGGAATCGCTGCCATGGATGATGTTCCTGGGCGGGGAAAGAGATGGCCACGTTACCAAGACCACAGGGTTAAAACTGCCCAGAAGCGCCCCCCATTCCCACTGCCAGAAAGCCCGCCGCTGCAGGAAAGCCAAAGCTCACGTCACTAGTTCACGTTAAAAGAAAAAACCCATGACTACCATGAATGTAGGATGAAGAATGCCCTCCTAGCAACATGGATGCTAGCAGAGAGCCTTCGGGAAGGACGTTAGCCAGCAAAGTGTGCTGTGCCAGGTTTTACCCTTTCATCAGAGGCACAACCGCAGCGAGTGGACATAGAGAGAGAGAAAGAGAGAGCCTATAAAGCCGAACACCAACTTCAGAGAGAGGAAAACAGGATTGAAAATGTTCTGCATAAGGTATCATGTACATCACTAGCTACAAGAACCCAACTTCCATGACAACTCAGCTTTTGGAAAAGGGTAAAAAGCACCAACTCCCACCTGCCAACTTGGATACAAAAGTCCCCTCGGATGGTCCCAGGTTTGGAGTCCGCGGGGTTGGTCTCCCCAAGCATCACTCGGCCTGTCTTCACAACATTCAGCCCCTCCCAGACCTTCAAAAACAAAAGAAGAGGTGGTCAGAGAAGAAAACCCATCCCAGCAGAAAATCTGAAAACTACTGTTTCAAAAGAAAGGTAACCCCCCTCCCCCCCGGATCTGACATTCATTCATTGCGCAAATACAGAGACAGGGATAGGTTTCTTCATGACCTGCCCATTCCCTTTCAAGTTGTGAAGGCAAGGAAAGCTAAGTCGTCTCAATCATGACTGCATCCCCAGTGACTAGGAAAGAGCCCGGCAGAATGATGATCGCCATACATATTTGGAGGATTTCTGGGTTAAGTCCTGCCCTCCAGAAGCTTATAATCAGGCAGAGCCCTCTCAACCTCTCCCAGCAATGAGTCTTCAGTTCAGCAAGCAAATGGCAAATGCATCTTGTCTTGAGTGGATCAGAGAGCTGACTCATATCTTAACTGTCCAATCCTCCCAGCCCCAGGTCCCTCTGCGTCAATGAGGACCTGGCATCACACCACTCACTCTTCACTCTCAACTTCACTCTTCATTCAAGTCAACACCCCACACAGGCACACTCACCATGGCAACCACTGGCCCTGAGTGCATGTATTTCACCAGGCCGGTAAAAAAGGGGCGGTCCTTCAGGTCGATGTAGTGTTCCTTGAGAAGGTCTTCAGAAGCCTATTCCACAAGACAGAGAATGAGAATTGGCCCCCAAAACCACAAACCAGTGGCTGCTTCCCACTCACCCATCCTGCAGTTTAAAACATGAGCTCTCGGCTCATTAATTCTGTTCATTCTCAACGGGACCAGAGGGGAGCAGTGATCAGGACTAAAAGTGCTTCAGCTTTGTACCAATTCTCCCCCTATTGGCCTTGTCTGATCAGAATAAAGCTACAGAGCCGAAGCCGGTTTGGCTCAGTGGTAGAGCGTTGGTCTTCGGACTGAAAGGTCCCAGGTTCGATTCCCGTCAAGGGCATGTACCTTGGTTGCGGGCACATCCCCGGTAGGGGGTGTGCAAGAGGCAGCTGGTCGATGTTTCTCTCTCATCGACGTTTCTAGCTCTCTATCTCTCTCCCTTTCTCTCTGTTAAAAATCAATAAAATATATTAAAAAAAAAAAAAAAAGAAAGAATAAAGCTACAGAATATTAGATTCATGTCCAATCATCACAGTTTAGACAGAAAATCTAACAATGCGTCCTGACTGGTTTGGCTCAGTGGATAGAATGTCGGCCTGCAGACTGAAGGGTTCCAGGTTCAATTCCAGTCAAGGGCATGCACCTTGGTTACGGGCAAATCCCCAGTAGGGGGTGTGCAAGAGGCAGCTGGTCGATGATTCTCTCTCATTGATGTTTCTAACTCTCTATCCCTCTCTCTTCCTCTCTGTGAAAAATCAATAAAATATATTTTTAAAAAAACAAAAAAAAACACACACACACACACAAAACACCTGTGCCCTTGTTTAAAAAGAAGAAAGAAGCCGAGACCGGTTTGGCTCAATGGATAGAGCGTCGGCTTGGGGACTGAAAGGTCCCGGGTTCGATTCCGGTCAAGGGCATGTACCTTGGTTGCGGGCATATCCCCAGTAGGGGGTGTGCAAGAGGCAGCTGATCGATGACTCTCTCTCATCGATGTTTCTAACTCTATCTCTCTCCCTTCCTCTCTGTACAAAATTATTTTTTTAAAAAAAGAAGAAGAAGGGGAGGGGAGAAACAGAGACTCATCTACAATGTTCCCCTCCCTCACAAAGGAAACAGATAGAATGAAGGCCACTTACCTGCATGAACTTCATAGCAACAAGGCGGAATCCCTTCTGCTCAAAACGCTTGATGATCTCCCCCACAAGCTGGCGCTGGACGCCATCGGGCTTGATGGCAATGAAGGTGCGCTCACTGTTGGCCATGGTCCTGGGGACAGACAAGGGGGACAGCGCCGGACAGTGAAACAGCAGGGAATATCCTGCCTCCAGCATTATCCTTCTCAAGCGGATCACCCCATAAATCTGGCTTAAATCTGCCCTGTCGACTCCAAGTCTCTCTAGTAAAACCCAATTCCTCTCTCATGTATGAACTAATATTCCAGAGTGCAAAAGGAGCAACTATCATTTCTATCCCATTTTATTTAATACACTTATATTAAGCGTCTACTGAGTCCCAATACTATGGCAGAACTAAGATAGGGGATGTAAAAAACATTTTTTTTAATTAAAAAGACAATCTTAATTATTCAGATGAGGCAAAATAACACTGATGATGTGAAAGTGACATCTGGTAGAGGGCAGACTGAAATACGATTTGACCTAACACATCATGGCATTAGAACTGGAAGGAGTTTTAAAGGTTATTTCCATTTCAATCCCCTTCATTTTGCAGACGAGGGAACAGATCTAGAGAATGAGGGCCAAAATCCAGATGTGCCCATCCCTATGTATTTTATGTTCATCATAAAATGTAACAAATACTCTGACCACTGAACTCTCGATTGCAGGAGAACTTGAGCCATTAGTAATACTATCTGATACGGGGCATCTGCTGGAAGGAAGCCTGGAAAGCATCTATACCAGATCTTTTCTTTTACAGAGAAGATTCAAGACCTACTCTGCCTCCACAAGATGAGAAAAGAGGCCCCTCACCCCTAAAGAGGATCACGGCCACCTCCTGGCTCTATCTTCCTCCACCTTAGTTAACCCCCTAATATAGCACCTTAACGATAGATTTGAATCTTATGTTTGTGTGTCTGTCTTCCCCGGTGATCTGTGGACTGTTCTTGTTCTTGGCACCTCGCCAGGGCCTAGCACTAAAAAAATGCAACAACAACAAAAAAAGTCTTAACTGATAACCACTTTGCCCTCCAAGAAAAAGAGACCAAGCACAATGACTGGAGAAAGCTCGAGACAGGCATGGGTTCCCCGGGAGGAAACGTGGCTAAAGAGCCAGAAATAGTGCCTATAAACGTCCCTCCACGCCCACCCTGACACCCCCCCGCCATTCATTCAGCAATCACACACTAGAGCGCCCGTTCCGAGACCCGGGGGCAGAGAAGGCTCAGCTCCTGCAGCCGCGGCCCGGTGCAGAAGGCAGCCGCGAGCCACCGGCAAAGGCGAGTCCACGTGGCTCGGGACGTGGGCTGACAGGTTCGCACCTGTCCGCGGCGCCGCCCCACCCTTCCTTCCAGTCCGCCCCCCCTCGCCACCTCTCATATCTCATAGGACCCCTACAGCTCCCCGCTCCCCCGGCCCCATCGCTCTCCCTTCCCCTGGGGACCCTGGACCCTTCTCACCCTTCCAGCTGTTGGAGCTCCCACTCCGCCCTCCGTCCTCCGCACCGGAAACGCGCCCCGGCCCCACGTGGTTGCCGGTACTCGCACGCGCGGAACCTTTCTGCTCAAGTCCGCTGCCGGAGAGCCCGTTTTACGGAACACCACTTGCCCACGGTTCTTCCGGTGAGTCGGTTGTCATTCTAGGGAGCAACTTTCCGATCTTTAACTTCCGGCCCTGCTGTTCCATGCTCTTCCGGCAGACCGCCGCCATCTTTTTTCTTTCTTTCTTTCTTTTTTAAAGACTGTGACTCACTTCCTGCTTTTTCTGGAGCAAATTGGCTGCCCGCGAGGTGGCGCTCCTACTTTGCGTGAAGCCGACGCGCGCCCGACTCGGAGGTAGACACGTTTTATCGCTTTAGTTAATTTACTCAACTTTTCCGGTCTGTCAAACCATAACTTCTTTATGGAGGACCTACTGTGTGCCGGGCACTGTTCTAGAGCAGTGACTCTCCTGGTCCTTCTGGCGGGGTTGGGAATGGAGACAAACAATAAAGAAATGGATATGGCATTATGTAAATTCTGTTTTAAAAACAACCAAGGGGAAGGTGGGAGATTGAAGGATTTAACTATTATACATATTTTAAAAGGCTGGTTGAGGAAATCCCTCTTTGAAGATCGATGTGCATAAAGGGAGGGGGCAAGTTCGGTGGTTATCTGAGAGATGAGTTTTGCTTGTTTTTTAACGATGCGAGTGAATTATTCATTGATCAGCTGCCTCCTGCACGCCCCCTACTGGGGATCAAGCCCGTAACCTGGGCTGTGCCCTTAATCGGAATCGAACCCGGGACCCTTAGGTCCACAGGCTCCTTCCATGTAGTCAAACCCGCTACGGCAGTTTGATGCTTTCAATACTGTTGGTTGATAGATTCTACAAGACCTGACCCTAGAGCTAGGTTCTTTTTTTATTTTTTAAGAATAGTTTATTGGCCGAAACTGGTTTGGCTCAGTGGATAGAACGTCACCCTGCGGACTGAAAGGTCACGGGTTCAATTCCAGTCAAGGTCATGTACCTTGGTTGCTGGCACATTCCCAGTGGGGGGTGTGCAAGAGGCGGCTGATTGATGATTCTCTCTCATCGATGTTTCTAACTATCTATCCCTCTCCCTTCCTCTCTATAAAAAAATCAATAAAATATATATTTTTTAAAAGAATAGTTTATTGATTTTTAGAGGGGGGCACATCCAAGTGAGAAAGGTTAACATGGATTGATTGGGAGAGGTTAACATGGAGCCAGAAACCTTTTAGTACATAGGCCATGCCCAACCCACTGAGCCACACCCGCCTTCAGGGGCCAGGTTCACCAAGGCTGATCCAGGTGAGGAAGGTCTTGCCCAGGCAGATGCTGGAGGAGGGGGGTGAGCAGTAGAAAACAGGAAGGTCTCACCTCTTCCTGGAAGCCTTCCTGATTAGATGACTCCACCCTAACCTTCTTTTCCCAACCCAGCCCTCCAGGCTTCCACTGGTACTAAATGTTTCTGCAAACTAAATCAGACAACTTAAGAATTTAGAGCTAAAAGTAATCGTCTTAAATTTTTTTATTTATTGATTTTAGAGAGAGAGGAAGGGAAACAAGAGGAGAGAAATAGGAGATTGGAGGAGAGAGAGAGAAAGAGAGAGAGAGAGAGAGAGAGAGAGAGAGAGAGAGAGAAACATCAATTTGTTGTTTCTCTTATTTATGTATTCATTGGTTGACCCTTGTTTGTGCCCTGACCTTGGATGGAATCCACAACCTTGACTTATAGGAACTACACTCTAACCAACTGAACTACTCAGCCAGGGCTAGAACTAAAAGTGATCTTAAAGGGCATATGGACCAGTCCCCTCTCCAGAAATCCTAGGAAGGGGGTTCCACCTCTGCTTGAAAGCTCCAAGAAAGGACATTTATTCCCTCAAACATCAGATCACACTGGCCTTCCACCCACCCCTTGCTAAAACATAATCAGGCAAACTGCTAATCAAATGTATTCATCTTCAAAAATAATAATAATGTTTAAATTCTTTTTCTTTTTCTTTTCTTTTTTTTCTTTTTTTTTTTTTTTTTTTTTTTTTTTGAGAGATAGAGATAGAGAGAGAGAGAGAGAGAGAGAGAGAGAGGGAGGAAGGGAAAGAGAGAAACTTGGATTTGTTGTTCCGCTTATTTATGCATTCATTGATTGCTTCTTGTATGTGCTCTGCTGGGGATCAAACTTCCAAGCTTGGCATATTGGGATGATGCTGTAACCAACCGAGCTACCCAGCCGAGGCCAATAATGAGAAATGTTTAGTGAGCTGCTCTAAGATATCGGCTGTTTTAAAGAGAGGGAGAGTGGTCGTTGGGCTGCCTGGATAGAGTGTGGAGAAGATTTTACTAGTATAGAGGAGTAGGATTTCAACATACAAAAATAAGATGTAAATAGATAAGTCTGTAGGTATCACGGGACCAGAAAATAGCTAAGAGCAAATGAGGGAAAGCAAGCAGGGAAAAGTAGGAAATGTCTGAGAAACTGATTAGACACTCCTAAAAGCATAAAACCCTTGATGGATAAAACCACCAGATTAGTGACAAGCTTTGAATGCTAGTCTAAAAAGTTGAGACCCTGGACTGTAGTTAATGGCAAGTCACTGAATTTGGGGGATAGGACATGAGAAACATCTTAAAATTCTAGAACTCAAAGAAACTGTTGAAACTATTTACCGACTGCTTCCTTGCTGGGTGCTGGTCCTGTCTACGCAGGGTCTGGGACGTTTCCGTATGAGGCAACCGCCAGGGCATTGACTCACCCTGAAAAGACTTAAGGAAGAATTGGAGTAAGAATAAAGCAGGTTTTATTCAGGTAGAGAAAAACAAAGAGGGCAGGGCTCGGGTGCCTCAGTGAAAGAAGCTAAAAATACAAAAGTACCTGTCCCAGTGAACTAGGGCCAACTCCAGGGAAAGTGGTGGGTGTGGTCAGTTAGTCGGTGGGATTTTAAGCATTTCCAAGGGTAAGGAGTTGTCTCCTAGTTTGTGGCACTAAATTCAGACTCCACCTTCTGATTGGGAGAGACCTTGTTGTGACTTCCAAGATTATAGAAAGGCTTTCCTTCCGTTAACTGTTTTATCTTTGATCCTGCTGGGATGTGGGGGGCTCTGGCGGGAGGATGTCAGCTCCTACTTCCTCATTCCACTCCTTGGGATTTTTCCCTAACTTCTTTCTCTCCTGCCTCAAAGCCATTAAATTCCCTCACTTTACAGAGATACAAACAGACCAAAAGAGATAACCCGATTTCTTTAAGGTGACACTGGTATGGAGAGCTTTGTTTTATTTTTTATTTTATTTTTTTAAAATATATATTTTATTGAGTTTTTAGAGAGAGGAAGAGAGAGGGATAGAGAGTTAGAAACATCGATGAGAGAGAAACATTGATCAGCTGCCTCCTGCACGACCCCCACTGAGGATGTGCCCGCAACCAAGGTACATGCCCTTGACCAGAATCGAACCCGGGACCCTTCAGTCTGCAGGTCGACGCTCTATCCACTGAGCCAAACCAGTTTTGGTGAGAGCTTTGTTTTAGACAGTAGGAAATCAAGTTGTATTCCAAAGGGTAGATAGTTGCACAAGGAGAGGC